AACAGCTGACCAGCCCAGCCCTGGCCCCATGTCTGAGCTAGCAGCCATCCTCACCACTCACTGCCCTGAAGCCAGGGATGTGGGGTTCCCTTGTGCCGGGAATGCCTGGGTGCCAGCTTCACTGGGGCTCCCCCTCGCCCCGATTGCTGGCAGCGTGGTGACCCCCCAGGGCTGTGGCCCAGGTGGTGCCTCAGGGGACCCCGCCAGGAAGCAGCACTTTCCATTTTGCATCACACCCAGCTGCCAAAGGGGGCTGGGAGGGGGTTACCACTTCCCCTGTGGGGTGCAGAGTGAGAGACCGAGGGAGGGATGGAAGAGGGGGTCACATACGCCGATCTGCGCTTGCCCCCCCCACCAGGTAATGGCACGCTGCTCCCTGCCCCTGGCACCCCAGCCCTCCCGGCAGGTCCCCTGCCCTCCCGCAGCCCCTTCACCTCTCCAGGGGTGTTCCCCCAGCCCTGCTCCCCCGGCTCCCTCCTTTCGGGTATCCTCTGCCAAACAGCTCCTCTCCAGCCTCACTGCAGACAGCCTGCTCTTGGGGTGGGGGGCAGGAGGGGCTCAAAAGCAGGGGATGCCCACTGCACCCCAGTGCCACAGCATGCACAGGTACCCCCCACTCTGCTTTCCCCACTCTGTGCCAAGTGCTGCCTGCAGGGAGTCAGCTTCTAGGAGGGTCAAGGTACTGCAAATAAGCTCTCCCTCAGTTTTCCTGGGCTCCTCCACTGGCTCCTGTGACTCTGTCCGGGGTTCACAGGCCTTTCCTGGCTGGGGGGTCCCCACTGCTCCCACCGAGCTCTCAGGGCCCAGGTTAACTCCCTTTCTCAGCTCCTCAGCAGCCGGTGCGTCTGCCCTGGTGCTGGGCAGCCCTCAGCCTGGCCCTCCTCTCCCTGCTGCTCCTGCTGGCACAAATCATCCTCACCGGCTTGAGCTTCCACTGTGAGTACCTGCTTGCGCCTGGACCTCTCCGGCAGGGGTCTTGGGGTTGGGGTTGGCACCACGGGGCCTGTGTACCCACAGACAGAGCTGCAGCTTGCCCACGGAGCTGGGCTCTCCTGCTTGGGGTTGAGGGCATTGCAGGTTCTGGGACAAGCAGGAAAATTGATGAGGCAAGACCTCACCTGCCTGGCTGAGAGAGGAAGGCTGGGGGACAGCGTGGGCTCGGGGACGGTGCCGGGGCATCCCGCTCCATCAAATGACGATGAATTGAAGACAAGAGGGAGAGCAGTGACACAGAAACTGAAAGGCAGAAGCACTTTCCCTGAAAGCCTGTTATGTGGTGGGCTCCCAAGCACAGCAAAAGCTACAAGGACTTTGGCGGGCTTGGCTGGCAGGTCACCTAAACGGGGGATACCCTCAGCCACAGTCATGGGGCTGTCCTGTGGGAGAGGACACTGTTTGTTGCTCCCAGAAGCACACAAGGTTAGCAGGGACACTCCTGTGCTCTTCTTCTGTAGATTTAGGACAACAGGCGAGCTGCACCCACGGTCCCTGGAGCATGGAGGAGATCCCGAGCTACGGACAACAGACACTGCGAGGTAGGAGAGCCCAGTGGGCTCCTGGGTGAGGTTTGGAAAGGGCCTGATTGCTCCTTTCAAGAAGCAGGATCTATCCCTATTGCCGAACTCACCTCCCCAATCTTCCTTCACCCTTGCTGCCTGTCCCCTGGCTCATGGCATGGAAAGCTGCCCCAGCGCTGCTGAACAGGCTGCACTGCTGGGGCCCTGTTGGAAGAGATAATCCCAGGAGCGCTCAGCATCTCCTGGGCACGCCACCGGCACCAGGCTCACAGCTGCCATGAGCATCCGTGTGCTGGACAGCATCAGGCGCTCTCTTTCAACCAGTCTTTAGTGAAGCTGAAATCTCGACTGTGTTCCTAGCGCTTTGCAAATGATGTTTGTATCACAGCCCCAAATCTGGAGCTCCCCTCCCTGACCCACCTGCCTGATGCCAGCACCTTCATGTGGCTCCTGCTGGGGATCTGAGGCTGGGATGTGGGAGCTGGGTTCTAGAGTAGGGGCAAGCCAGAGGGATCATCTCCAAGGGGCAGCCATACGTTGGTTGGTACCCTGGCTGCTCCTTGTCACCCTCCGGTCCCTTGGGCTGGGAGCTGGTGGCAGCCCCTGCCCTGCCCCATCCCAGCTGCTCCTGCAGGCTGTGTTTCTGCTGTGCAGGGCGATGCCAGTTCTGCCCGGCTGGATGGCTCTGGTATGCAGGGCAGTGCTACTACTTTTCCTCTGCCAAAAAGAGCTGGGAACAGAGCAGAGAGCACTGCTGCTCCAGAGGGGCACAGCTGGTCACTGTCAGAGCCAACACCACCCTGGTGAGTGCACCCAGCCTGTCCTGTCCAATTCCCTCTCGCCCATGTCCCCAAATCCTAGCCAAGCCTCCAGGCAGGGAGCTGGCGATGCTGTGCCTGTACTGTGCAGCCCCCATCACTAATCACACGCCTGGGGCTGGGTGTCCTCCCAGGGATCTCACGCGGGTCCTCTCCTGCCCTAGGCTTTCCTGGTGCGCACAGCCAGCATGGAGGTCTTCCACGTGGGGCTGAAGCGGGATGGCTCCAGGTCTGACTGGAAATGGCTGGATGGCACCGCACTGAAGGGGTGAGTCTGCCAGCTTCTCCTCAGCCAGGCAGGGCTGCTGAGGGTCCAGCATCAGGGCTTGGGGAGGTGATGGGGCAGCTCACTGGCATGCAGGGATGTGCTCCACATTTTGGGCAACTCTTGTCTTCCCAGGGCTGCTCTGGGGTGTTTTAGGGAAGGGAAGATTGCAGGGGTCGGACCCTGGTGCCCACACCCTGCCTGTGTGAGGGGCTGGGGGTGTTCCCCAAAAGCATGTTCCCAGGCTTTGCTTGGAGCAGCTGGTGCTGAGCCCTGCCTGGAGGGACCTGGGGGTGCTGCATGCATGATGGGGACTGCATGTCAAACAGGTAGGGGTAGGGTGGTGGGGGATCAGAGTGCGTGTGCTAATTGGGAGGAGGCTAGCAGGGGACAGTGCTCCATGGGTAGGGCAACCTTGGCCCCCACAGCATCTCTGTGCAGCCTCTGGTCCCTGGCTGGAGGAGCTGCTGATGGGATGATCCCAGCCCTTCCTGTCCATCCCATCTCATCTCGCTCTCCTCCTGCAGGCTTTTCCCAATTCAGCGCTCCACCAGCTCCTTCCTAGCCTGCGGCAGAGTGTCAGGCTCAGGGCTGTCAGCCGGATTGTGTGGGGAAGCCCTCGGCTGGGTCTGCGAGCAGAGCGCAGCCACCCTGCAGTGGCTCCAGTCCTCACCCCCCGCCTTCCTCTGGGGAAACACCACCTACACCTGTGTGGGACTCTGATGACTGTGGGGACCTCCAGCTTGTCCCACCACCCTGTTCCCTGCCTGACTCCAGCACATAGGCATCCCTGGGCACCGCTGCCTCCTCACTCAGACCTCTTTACCCCCTTGGATCTCTATACTTTGCCAATAAACTCTGGCACTTGGATGCTGTGGCTGGCTTTGGGGGATGAGGGTGGTGGGATGGAGGTGCATCCTCCAGCTCACTGGCTCGGTCACGTTGCTGCCCAGTGGGAAATCACAGCTGCCCCGGCACTGAAGGCAATGGCTGGGAGCCAGCATCGACCCAAGTGTCCGCATGGCCTGGTGGCATCGTGGACCAGTTCCTGCGCAGGCTGGAGCAGGTCCTCTCAAAGCTCTGGGCTTTCTGATCGTGGTGGCTGCCTGGGGTTTATGCTTCTTGGGAAAGGAAGCTGAGAGGTGACCCTTTGCCTGCCCGAAACCATGGAGGGCTTGGACTGGGCAGCAGTTTGTCTCCTGGAGCCTACTCAGCTGGAGGAGATCACAGCAAATGCTCTCACTTTGCTTTGAGGCTGGGTGATGTGCAAGAGCCTAAAAAGCCTGCTGGGGCTTGGCTTGGAGGGGTTTGGTCCTTGGGGCTGTTATGGTTTCGATATAGACCACCTAGGTTGTGCCAGCAGCACGCGGCTCCAGCCTGGACACTCCTGGGAGTCCCTCCTGGCACATATGGAAGACCAAGCCCCTGCAGTCGCTGCATCCCATTTCCAGAGCAGGGGCTGGGAGGGGGAAGGGGG